CTCAGGAAATATAGAAACTTAATATTGGTACAGGCATGGGAAAGAGCTTCTCTTCAGACTATAACAAACAAAACAAAAACTTTCGGATGGATGTATCAACTGTGGATAATGTGGCAATTGAGCAGATATGACCATATTCTCTGTGAGCACCGTGCGGCTAGCCTTGAGTCTCAAGGGGTCCCAGAGCGCGGTTTATAGCGCCCATAGTAAATACAATTAATGCTGCCAATATCATTGCATTCCTAGAACCTCCAGCGCGTCAATTATAAAACGCCGCATACTCACTTTGTGTTTCGAGCTCCACTTTCACATGTGCCTAATTCACCACTGATTTACAAGCATCTGCGAATGCCAGAATGGAACTGATAAATCCACTAACAGAAAAGAGAATACAGCCCCCGAAGTGCACTTATCTGACGAATTTCCTGTGCACAAAGGATCACCAACGGCGATATACGTCGTCGAATGGCTAAACAAAAAGGGCTCTTAAACAACATCAAAAAGTGAAAGTTGCAATACTTATGGCCAATCTCACCAACAACAGTCCGTTATTCTCCACCTATAGGGTAACAGCCCGTCAAATACAGCGAATGAGCTTCAAGTTCCAATCAACAAATTTTAGCAACCAATAGCTATGAAATGTTGATAATAAAATAATGTCAAAGTATGAGATGACATCTTGTCATTGAAACATCATCAGCTTATTGAATATTAAGAAATTACATATAATTCAGTCGAAATTTAAACAAATGTTTGATTTTTGAATAAAATTCATGATTTAATTACTGTTGTTGATTTTTTATTCATGTTTATATTACTTTCTTCAATTGATATGCGATTTTACTGATTCAAGATCATCTACTGAGTGTTTTTTCCTATAAACCTCGTGCAGATAGCCATTCAGCACCTACTTGATGACTGGCTCTACCAAAAAGTTCATAGAAATTGCTCGTTTCCAAACATTCATTCATTTACTTGCCGTTCATCAGAACCTTTATGGCACCTTAGATTGATATTCCCACAAAACCATTCTGGTTTTTTATTATCCATACATCCATAAAGTTGAATATTTTTCGTTGTTCAGCAACTTAACAAACATCCGCACTATATTCACAGCGATTAAGAAATACCCAAATATAAGTCGTAGAGCTACCAGCAAACCTAAAACCTGCAGAAAAACTAGAGATTTGCAATATTTTTCTTTTTTCACTGAGTACATATTTTGGGTTATATTTATATTAGACGTTATTTGAATCACAAAACATATACACTGATTTGAATAACAGCTGATTATCTCCTGATATTTTAAAACTAACCATATCGACACATAATCCTGTGGTATCCGTCAACACTTCGTCCCAGTGGAGCAAACTCTGTCAACTGTCGAAATGAACTTTATTAATTCCAAGTCTTATCTTTGTTTTACTGTGCCTGCTTAGATATTCAAATACGACCAGGAATTATTAGCGCCTGGCTATTTTAGGCCTTCAATAACTCCTTATTTTGTTTTTTCCACGCATTCATGGTAGAAAGAAAAATATGTTATCGAATATCGATACCGTATACCGTGCAGCAGCACGCCCATCACTAGTTTGACATATTGCAGAGTGATGTCAAGGTGACAATCTTTATGTGGCAGTTGTTTTTGTTTTTGTCTGAAATAGGTAAGTAGGCTTTGTGTATTCATTTTTATTTTTATAGCGTTTCCAGAATTTCATATTTCGAAACGATGTCAAGGGCCGGCAGGGGAAATCTTTCTCTGAGAACAGAAAATCATTAAACGCCCTGTTTCCAGTCTATTTTATTCTATCCCTTGGGGAAGAACAGAATGAAGAAAAGACTACAGTGCTCAGTGGCCACTCAGTGGCTCACTGCTCGTCTGTAATGATAATATTCAAATACTACTAAACACCTAAATAGCTTTCTGGCCTTTCAATTTCGAAGCTACCAGTCCTCGCTTAGAGATGGTAGCACAGTTAAGGATAAACTCGGGGTATACGGTTGCGGATGTTTATGATTCCTCTCGATATCGATAAATTGTCATGAAACCATCGATGCGTAAAGATCGATGTTCTACGTCCGATGTATCGATGTTTTCGATACATCAATGTATCGTCGCCATCCGTATATTGTATCCCTACCAGTCACCAGAAATAAACCTTAACCACCAATATTTTATCACTATTTATACTTCTTTTTAGCTCTTATTTTTCAGTAATTACTAATAATTTTAGGTCTATGTCTACAGTAATTGCATTATGCACCTCGGAGATGTAGGGATTAACATGTTTTACACATATCGGTGTTTTAGGATGCGGACGACCGAACTGTTTTGATTGCTTTGAAGAAATCCATCATCCCATGAATTTATAACAAATGATTACTATTATGATGTAAAGAGAGATGAGGAATTGGTTGGAATACATTTTATATTCTATTTTCTTGCAAATCCGCACAATGATCACATATACACACATTATATTGAACTTAACAAATTTCGAGATTGCCACGAATTAAGAAACGACCAAACCTGCTGCCAAATTTAACAGCTAGAAAATCGACCTATCATTTCTCTCATTCCCATTCGCTGAGGGGATAACGGATAGTCTAATGTCCACCTATAACATAAATCAAAATACATGAAAGTTGTCCTGTTTTCTCTGTACAAAAGCATCATGGTGGTCTTGTTTATAATACAGTCGAATTTTCACGATTTTATTAAACATTTTAATAGAAATCACTGATATTCTGAGACCTTTGACAGCTTCCGTCAAATTGCATTTCGATAAGGTATTTTCCCATTGGTCCTCAATATTAATGTTGGCGAAATTGGCCCTTAGTACGTATCTTGCAGAGAGAACAATATGAGATGCTTCTCCTAATCATTTAGGACAATATACGGCGCAAAATATTTGGAGGAACCAGAACTTATGGCTAAAGGACCTGAGCAGGTGGTTTTCGTGCTGCAGTTTTCAAAACTACAATCGCAATCTGGAACGCCAATCTTCGGAACAAGACAGCCATGAACAAACAGAGAGCCTTAATGCTATGAGGATCTTAAATAGATTTTTGAATTGCCTAAGGTTACTATAACTTTAAAAGCTTCCTCTTGAAGATTGTTCCGCAATATCGATGTCCTACGGACAAAGGAGCGGTCGTATCGGCCAGTTCTACATATACAAAGTTCGACACGGTTAGGATGGGAGGCCGAGGTCAGACGGGTCTATCTGGCAGGCTCATCGCGCAGCACCAAAGTCTATTGGCGTAGCGGTAAAAGAGAGCTAGATGGCCGACGATCCGCTGTTGCGAAATTGTCCCGAGTCTGTCTTTTAGAGAAAAGTCATCGATGAGCCGGACAGCATAGATAATGAATAATATAGTCGGGGCGGCAGCACCCCAAACATGTGAGCAATACTCGAGGCTAGTACTCTCTAGCCATAAACAAAGAGCCTAGCTTTTTCCCAGCAACTGCCGCTATTGACGAGATGTGTTCATTCCAGATAAAGTCGTTGATGATCTGGACTCCGACCAGCCGAAATGGGCGGCTACTTATGTAATCATGTACAGTACTGACCCTGGAAACTGTACTTATTAGTATGGAAGTGAGGATTGATGGAGTAGGTACCGCAAAGTGCGAGAGACGAGGTACAATAACCCGTGCATCGAGGAACTTTGTTCAGATGGCCCCTACAGAGAAAAACCAAAACAGATACTCGACCTAAAAAAGCAACCTTCACGTCTTCTAGTGGTAGGTTATAACAGTTTTCGATAATGAACACTTCTTCTATTTTCTTTTGCTAGCAGCTAACCTAAAAGGCTCAGCAAGTTTTTCATCAGATACTGTCCCAAGGGAAAGATACATTATTCATCTGATTGGAAAATCCCTGCTATCTGACTTTTCTAGCCTATCAGTTCTTGTGAATTGCGTAACATTAAATACAGGCAAATACTCTTTTGCAGAAGAAGACTCCTATTCTTTGCTGAACTAAGTGAGTTATGGCAACGCTGGCAAATCAGCTAAGGTTTGTGCCCCTAATTTATGAGGTACGATATAATTGGCGGTGTGCAAGCACCCTAATGGGCCAACGGCCGACACTTCGAGGGCCATGAATCAGGCTAACTACTCTCGACCGACTTTTATCTGCTGCCTGATGAGAGGCGGTAGCCTATTTCGCGCAGCTGGCAGCCTATGAGTTGCGGCCCACTTAGAACCCAGGCATGCTACGCCAGGCCTCAATTTGATCTTGAATATGGTCCCGATGCATTGCATGATCCCTCCATAGGCCAAAATGCCCAAAAACCCATGACTTTATAACGGTCTAAATGAGTAGCAAGTTATCGGGCAGGTGAGAGGCTTTTAAAAGTATGAATAACAATGAAATTAGTTCAAACTTACTAGTGTTTTCACGTAGAGATAATATGGAGGTGCAAGCATATGGTTATGTACTCTTATTATTTACCTGTTTTATCTAAAAACATACGTTTTGGAGTTTTATATAAATTTTTTATCAAAAGTTGTTTTTGCTAGATTTTTTCATACAAAATTAACTCATTCCAAGTGGCTGAGCCTTGCTGCAGCTCAGATAAATGTTATCTTAGAATAGAGAATGTCTAGATTAGGGGCATATAGTTTCCTCTGCATCTTGCTGCCCCTTCTTAGGTCTGAGAGGTGCCGAACCATATGTTCATAGTATAGAAAAAAGAGGTGTTTTCCAAATACAATTTTGTTGTTGTTTTAGGTAAATAATAATAAAGTATGCTGTTTCGAGGAGGACTATTTTTGTTATTTAGCACTCTAAGGAGGGTGGTGGTTTACGAAAGTTACCTGTTAAAAGAAAGACATATTGGGGTTGCGTTGGAAACTTTAAGACGTATTAAAAAATTTGCCTATAATTTTTCCGTTTACGGGTGTTATAGTGAATATTTAATACATTTTGTGTATTACGACTAGAGTTTTTATGTCAACTCATTATTCGAAACAGTAGACAAAACAAGTAAAAAAGTGTAAAACTGTGAATTTCTCTATAAGCAAGAGGTGAGGTTACCAGTGAACCGTTGAGGTGGATTCAATCATTATCGCGACCCTGAAATTTCCTAGCAAACCTTATAAGAGGTTAAAAAGAAGAAACAACTCATATCGGCTGAAATAGAACAAATAAACCTTAGATGAACAGTATTACAGACTCGGATGATTACACTATTGATGAAGGGAAAAGAAAAAGGGATGTTGCGGAAGAAATTTAAAAAAAAAGCAAAAGCAATCAAAATGGTGCTTCTAACCAATCTCACTACGGATGATAAGTAAATCAAACGAAACCAGGAGGAATGTGGAAAAGATGTGAATGCATTGTATGAGGAAGTAAAACAGTTGAGAAAAGAACAAAATGAATACAAAAAAGGGGCAAACATTCTTACAGAGGAAAACGAACAGGTAAAGAAAGAAGTGGAACAGTTAAGACAGGAAATCACCACATCTAATGGTAAAATAGAGAAAATGGAAAGTAAAAAACGAAGAAAAAACATTGTTATACCAGGATATCCCTTAAATACGGGCAAAACAGCAAATTTGCGAGAAAAGATGGTAAGCTTTATTGGAGAAAAATTGAAAGTAGCAGTAACAGTCAGTGGAGCCAGAAAATTATCAGAAAATGTGTGCTTAGTAGAACTTGACAGCATGGACGATAAAGCAAAAATAATGCAAAGAAGCACAAACTTAAAGAATTAAAGGAAAGAACATATATCAATGATGATTTAACTAAAACAAAAGAAAATAAGAGACAAAGTAAACGAGGAAAGAAAGAAAGGTAAACACACTAAAATGGGCTATTAAAAACTAATAGTGGATAATGATGTGTGGAAATGGAATGCAGAAACAAGCGAATTGGAGAAAATGGAAAACAATTTCCCAAGAAACTAAACAAGAACTGGAAAATGAAGACGAAACAGGCTACGGCAACGGAAACGAATACGGAATATATACACATAAAAAATGAAGGATGGCATACATGACACTGGAAACCTGGAATATAAGAAGCATAAGTGGCAAAGAAGCTGAGCTTGTTAATGAATTTGAAAAATCAAAAATAGAAATTCTGGTAATAACAGAAACAAAGATAAAGGGATATGGGATTGAAAATCTAGGCAACGGGCATATCTTAGTATACAGTGGCGTAGATACAAAGGAAATAGCTGCTGCAGGAGTGGAATATATTATACACAGGAATAAGAGGAATTTCATACATAGGTGGGAGGCAATATCAGAAAGTATACTAGTAACTGAAGTAAGATGAGGTGTAAATCTAGAGACGATCATTGGGATTTACGGGCCTGATGAAAATGAGAAGAAAGAAGGAAAATATTAATTTTGGGAGCTCCTATCAAAGGCAGTAGAGTCAGCGAAAGGGGATTTATTCATAATGGGCGATTTTAATGGTCGTGTTGGTAAAAGAGATGATTTATTTAGTGATGTCTTTGGAAATCATGGTGAAATAATGAGAAACAATAATGGTATGAGACCTCTGTCAAATATTAAGCTTAGTTGTGACAAATACTTTCTTTCCCTACACACTTTATTGTAAATGGGATTTTGATTATATAGTATATATATATAAGTATTAGAATTTATATTTTTTTTCAATATATCTTGTTTACCCTTATTATGAACTGTTTTATTTTATTTCTTTAATATAAGGTTGATCTAAAACAGTATCCAAAACAAAAATACCGAGAAACATTTTTAGGACCTACTTAGCACTTTTTTTCTTAAAAGGAATTTTATAAATTGTATTTTCTTGTCTGCACAACTGTATTTTAAGGTTTAAGTTACAATGAAAAAGGTATGGCCGCCCTAGTATGGAAGAGGAATCACTGTGCATTGTCGGCTCCTGAAAAGTTCTAATCTTACACAGCATTTTCGATTATACGACAGAAAGGCTTAAGCGTCTTATGAGAACTCAGGGCTGCCAGACATGACTGATTTCCTGAAAGAGAAAAACGTGGGGCTTTAAATAGCGTTAATATGTAAAAGGTGGCCAAATAAGTATGCGAGGCTTGAGGCAAAAATAGTTGCTACCAAAACGGCCAAGAACAACACCTGGTAAACATTTTTCAAGTTTCTGGAATGATCGCTAGGTGGCGTAACTCCAACCTTGAATCTAAAAAAGTGATGTTTCTGTGAACTCCGCTATATAAGGTTGACAAAGACTACCTGACCTTCAAATTTGAGGATAATCTGCACCTTTTTAGATTCACCATTTTCGCAGTATCTCTAAAAAAATAGTGGTGGATGGTATTCAAAGGTTTCTGTAAAAACAACCTGTATCTTCGAAATGACTGAGTCGATTTGAAAAGAGCTATTCTTGGGCTACAAATGTTATAATACTTGAAGTTTTGTTAGTTTCACATGTGGCTGCTAGAGGGCTTTTGTGACATTTCTCAAAAAATTAAATCGATTGGTATGATTTCTTTTATCGAAAATTAGCTAAAGGATGTCTAAATAAGCTCGCAAAAACCGCATGTCGATATCTTATTCCTAACCTAAAACTTAGGGCACAAAATTCTATACGGAAATCCCTTAAATTTCTATTTCCGTAAGGTATTTTTCTGGATCTTTTTATTCTTAAGTTGTGCCCTTAAAAAGGATTGATGCAAAAAGGAAAGGTATTTAATGTATGTTACATATTGCATTACGATTCCCGTTCTTCACATCTTCTCTGGTTGTAGGTTGAGTCTGAAACACGATATCCTTTAACCGTCCCCGTCAAGTCTGGTAATCGCGAAGGCCATAAAAACAGACTTCCTCTTCCAATCCATGGCTCTTGAAATACTGCATTAATATGCTCTCGCACAATAATAGCAAAATTTTCTGGACAACCATCCATCAACAACGGCAATTGGCTATCCAAATAGTCCAGAAAGACACTGCCACTTAGGGATTGCTTGAAAAAATATGGCCCAATAATTCTGCCTCCCAGAATTCCAAACACATTTAAACTCCAACGCCCTTGGTGTTGAATTTCACGCAACCAATGCGGATTTTCTGCAGACCAATAATGCATATTGTGCAAGAAATCAAGAAGGCTTTAGTATCTCATGCCTCATGATCATCAGGCTACCATACACACCTGCGGTGTCTGTAGCTATCTATAGATATCCATGATGTAGTAGGAATGTAATAAATTGCAATCTTGGACTTTTATTGATGAATCATTTAATTTTGTCTTTCCTTTGCCTACCGCAGCATTTACAAGTGACCTATATTGCTTGCTATAGTTGTAGTCATCGTTCTTGGCGGGTCAAATTCAGACTACTACAGTATCCCTTTATACAGGGTGTCCCAGAAGTCGACGTCATGCCGAAACCGGGTGCTAGGCAAAGTCATAACAGCTATCAGAAAAATATTTATGTATGTGTTTTGAAAATTATAGGTCTTTCAAAAAAATATAGAAATTCCACACCCTACGGCGCTGTACGTGGTATGGATGGAGCACGTTTCTTTGCAAGATTCTATGGGCTGTACTTTTGGGCACACCTGTTTTTAGTTCTATTGCACGCACTGAAGTACTCGGGTCTTCTTCGACAGCTCCTAGCACCACGTCTTCGTAAGGAAGGAAAGATCTTCCCTCACCGTGTGATTGGTTTGGTAGTTGGCCCTCTGAGAACAGTAAGCGGTGCACATTTATGAACACTCGATGATCTGGATTCGGGTACCTCTCACAGTAAAGTCTCGCTGCAGCACTAGCGTTGCATCTGCATTCCCCATAAATGAGATGCATGTTAGCATATTCTTGTACGGTGTACACGGACATAGCGGCACTGCACAATCACACTATCAAAGATAGTCTAAGGAAAGCAAATGTTGTTTTGAAGAGCAATTAAACAGTCCAAATCCAAATCACAAGCGATCAACAGTCCAGTTCACGAATCCAAAATTAGTAACAGTACGAAATCAACAAGCACGAACATGTAAAGATGCGCAGTAAACGAACGAGTACTGATCGGTATCAAAGTGTGCAATAGCAAGTAAGTGATGTGCTTCATCCATACCACATACAACGTGTTCAACCTCTCCTGCCCCGGGATTATGTGCCCCGAGTTGCTTTTTGTCGTACAATGTTAGAAAGACACAGGAAAGATCCACAGTTCTTTGAAAAAATTTTATGGTCAGGTGAGACCACATTTAAGAAAGATGGGTACATGAACCTGCATAACTTACACGAGTGGCACGTAGCAAACCCACATTTGATGAGAGAAGATAAATCTCAATATCGCTTCAGGATAAACCATTGGACAGGAATTTTTAATGGTAAAATAATCGGGCCGTTTGAGTTCCCAGAGACTTTGACTGCTGAAGTTTATTTGGATTTTTTGAAAAATCATGTACAAAATTTATTGGTGGACGTGCCACTGAGTATTTACAGGGACATGTGGTTTCAGCATGATGGCTGCCCAGCGCACTATGCACTCTCAGTGAGAGAGTATCTCAATCAAAACTTTCCAGGCAGATGGATAAGGCGGTCTGGTACAATACCGTGACCAGCCCGATCACCTGATTTGAATCCTTTAGATTTTTTTACTGGGGAACTGCAAAAGAAAAAGTGTATTTCAAGCCGATTCAAAATGTAGCTGAGCTACGGCAAAGACTATTGGAAGCAGCTGAGTTTGTTAATAACCGTGGATCCGCTCGTTTAATAACCCGATCTTTCTTAATAAGATGTCGAGCGTGTATTGCGGCTGAAGGAAAACAGTTTGAGCATTTGCTGTAAAGGTAAATTTTCATCAGTTTTTTTTCAAATAAAAATTGTGCATAAGTTAACGAGTAATCTTCTAAGTGTTATACCATTTTGCAATCGTTATTAAATGCGCCAACTTTTAAGGTTACTTGCCAAACTCTCGTAGTACATTTTTTTCCAGTACAGCCAGTTAAAGTTGAGCAAAGTTTTACTTTGGAATACTTGGTTGGGAAATAAGTAGCAATTTTTCCTGAACGAGAAAATTTGGCAGTAAGGTTGAGACTCCAGTTTGAAGATGCATTATTCATCATCACATTGTAAAAATAAAATCCAAAAAAAGTTAATAGTTGTAGTAACAGGAGTTGACAGACTGCCGTAGGGTGTGAAATTCCTATATCTTTTTCAAAGACCTATAATTTTAAAAATACATACATAAAATTTTTTTAAATATTTTTCTGATAGCTGTTATGACTTTGCCTATCACCCGGTTTCGGCTTAACGTCGACTTCTGGGACACCCTGTATATCTCAATCTCCCTCATACATACACATGCAACCTACCTCTCTGTGTGAACTTTTGTTCCGTGTATTCAAAGACATACGCCTTTTAGTTGCATGTCTCCGTCTAGAAAACTTTGTCGACAATTATATTTGTAGTGACAACTTACTTCAACAACTTCAATATAAAATTGTACAATGCCCGCAAACACGATCAATGGAGAATACCGACAGCCCTTGCTAAATTTATAAAAGTATTTCCAGGAAGAGAATGAAAACAGCGGTCTCCTGTTACCCTCTTCATGCGTACTGGAGAGAGTAGCAGATGCGCTGAAGATCAGTCTGCGCAGTGTTCCGCCCATAGTACGGAGACTCGATCTGTTTACTTATTTCATATGGCGTTGATCACCTAGCCGCCGTGAACGGTGACTATAACTATAACAGTTTCTAACAACGATATTTATTCAGTGTGCTCGTACT